TAAAACATGGGGTGGTTGACATGGCTGTTAGTTTTGGCCAAGCAGAGATAAGGAGTATGGTAAGGCTATGAGAGCCAGATGGCAAAAGCAGTGGGAGGAGGAAAGGAAGGGACGATGGTTGTATAAGATTCAAAGGAGGATGGGAGGAATGAGAAATGCAGGACGGACTAGGAGGGAGGAGGTGATCATATCCAGACTGAGATTTGGACATACTGGATTGAATAATACGTTATTCATGATAGGGAAACATAGTACTGGAAATTGTGATTACTGTGGGGTAGAGGAAACTGTAGAACATGTCTCGTTGCAGTGTCAGAGGTATCAGGTTGAGAGGAGACAATTGGTTCAAAATCTCAGTAACCTTAAACTCAAACTGGATCTTGTTGATTTGTTGCGAAAGGAATCGGGAAGTAAAAGTTATCGGGCCTTATTTCAGTTTTTAAAAGAGGGGAACCTGTTTGGAAGGATTTGAGGATGGGGTTTTTTTTTGTTTGTTTTTGGGGTTTTTTTGGGGTTTTTTTGAGCGTCATTCCAGACCATACTCCATACCAGTTGGTGGCGGTAATGCACCTTTCAATTGTTTGCCAACCACCAGTACAAATGTAAGAAAGAAGAAGAAGAGTCAGTGTCACATCGTCCCTCATGCTGTGTGGATCTCCCTGTGTCTCACTGTGAGTTTAGTTTGCTTTTGTATAACTTTCCCCTGCTAGCAAATAAAGCTGAGTTCTTTGTGTTTAAACCTCGTGCCTGAGTGCCTGCATTTTGCGTCCAACTCCTGCCTGCCGCACAGCGATTCATGACAGAACGACGCGACCACAACATGGACCCAGCAGACTTACCCGGGGAGAGCGATCTGATACAAGTCCAACGCCTAGTCGAGTGGATAACCCACACTTCTAATACAAGGGCAAAGATTGTGGGGATAAATGCTATTGAAGCAATCCTCGAAGGAAATTCCTATCTCCGCCAGGTCAGAGGATGTTTGGACTTATTGGCCAATTTGAAAGAAGCCTGGGAGGCGGCGCGAGCTCTGGAAATACTGGACTTGGCCCAGCAGCAACAGACAAAAGCCACCCCGGAGCAGCCGCGCCAGCCTCACCGGCCGGATGTGGTTTTGCCCGGCCCGTCGGAGCTGTCTGCGGGGAAGAAACGACGATCGCGCCGCAGGCGCGCCACCCCACAGCCGGACGTTCGGACTTCTAAATCAGCTCCTGCTGGAAGCTCAGATGAGCCCATCCAGCACTCCGCGGCTCCCACGCTGCCACCTGCCTTGTCC